ATTATCCATCTGTCAGGGGACAGAGGGTGGGCTCTCCCCAGAGGTACAGATCAAACTGCACAGATTTGCATAGATCCCAAGCAGCCCAGGAAAGGAGGAGCATTAGGAACTGGTGGTTGGTGTGGCAGGCAAAGGAGTGTGGATCTCAAGCTAGGATTTTGGGCAAGACAGATAGATGCCACATAAAAGCCCCATTACTCCTATTCCTTGCAGGTTCCTTCATCCCCAGTCCTGAGTTCTCAGAGAGGGAACTTCCCACATGCTCCCAGGTGACAGGCCTTGAGCACCATGACACTCAGAGCTTCTGGTTTGTACATTGAGAGTAATTCAGTCATAAAACAAGATACATGAGCTTAATACTCTTTGAGCCTATAGGGAGTTAGAACAGAATCAAATATGCATAGGAAGCATTTCTTTACTGAAAAGGGGGTCAAACTCTGGAACACACTTCCTGGAGAATTGATTGATAGCCCAAACCTGTCAGTATTGAAGAGGCTTCTGTGCAATGCCCTAAAAAACATTCTTGAATTTGGTCAGCCCTGAATTGGTCAGGCAGTTGGACTAAATGATCATTTTAGGTCCTTTTCAATTGAAATACAATAGAATAGACAACACAATAGGCTAGAACAGACAAACTAGAATACAATAGTCAGAATAGAATGTACTGTTTCAATTGGAAGGGACATACAACAATTCAGGGCTGACTCTCTTGGTAAAGAAATGCTTCCTAAAGCATTGGAAGTTTAAAAAATTACATGACATTATGGGAAAATGTTTATGCCTATTCTGGACTAAAGATTTTTGTAAGGCACAGAGTGGTGGCAGGTCCATCCCAAACAGGCTATGGACAGATCAGGCGAAGAAGCAAATAAGCTGTGATGGACTGGGAAAACAGAGGGCTGAGATGGCTTCGATTTGTTTGAGATTGTGAAGCTCTGTTTGCTCTCATCTACACTGCTCAGGTAAATAATTTTATGTATTGTTATTTTATAGCAAATCCTGTTGGACTCTCCCAGTCTCCATTACACTTACAAAGTCCACGTAAAAGCTGCATAAAACCCTTCCAAGTCTGGAAGTACAAGGAAGTACTGCAGGAGCCTGTCTCATCCCCAGACTTGCCCACCTAAACCCTGTGGGTAAGCATTGTTTCAAGGGCTACCTGGGGTTTGAGGAGAGGAGGGAAGTGAAGAATATTTCAAGAGCTGAATTGTATGTGGCTCTGAAATTGAATTGTTAATTAATGTACAGTCCATGGCCTGTCTGCCAGATATCAGTCTGTCAGACACAAAAAGTTTATATGTAAATAAATATATGAATGTATCATTCCGAGGCATTCAGCCAGTGTACATCTCCCACACCTGCAGCCAGGAGTGGCCAGAAGCACATTGATGATGACCATCAATTTCCAGTTACATGTTGCCAGAATAGGGAAAGAAAAAAACAACCAACACAATGGAAAAGGAAAAACATGAATATTTTTGTTTTCCTGCATTCCTAGTGCTTTCCTGTTCTTCCTCCACAGCTGCCAGGCAGCAATGGGGAAGGACAGCATGTCACTTTTTTCCTGAAATGTGCTCTTTGGACTTAAAGCATTGTGTGGCTGGGCTGGTCCTCTCCTCCCTTTTCTCTTGCAGAGATGGGAACACAGAAGGTGCTGGCTTCAGTAGTGAGTAAATATGGAGGTTAATGATCTGTAATCCAGACTATCAAATACAACAATCTGATGGGCCAACTGGCTTGTTATGGTCTTTCCCAGATTGTTATTTGTGAGACCAGGTAGGCCAAAGAACACCAAAAGGAGGGACAACAGCTTGGGATGGCTGTCCTCCCTCATGGCAGAGAAAGCATCTCTATTCCTTCCTTTCTCTGGGTCTGGTCTGGGCAAAGTGATGGGCTGCACAGTGCCAAGAAAGCAGATCAGCAAAGCTGCTGTGAGGTCTAGGTTCATCCCTTCTTTATGGAGTGGTGGGTGACAGCCCAGGATAGGGCTGCTTTGGTTTAGCATATAAAGAAAGTTTTCTGAAGAGGGTGGGAGCAGCCAGCCTGAGGAACGAGAAACTGTAGCTAGTTTTAAGGAGGAACGTTTTCATGGTGAGCGTGATTTAACTCTGGAATGATCCCTGAGGGGTTGTGGATCTTCCATCCTTGGCATGTAAATGAATGGGGCCCTGACCTGCTCTGTCTGACTTTTAGGTGAACTCTGCTTTTAAGCAGGTGACTTCACAAGGTCCCATCCCACCTTAATCATTCTGTGATTCTAGGAGTAAAATACTATTAATAGCAGCACAAGCCCTCAGGGTCTAAAGAAGCAAGTGTGGATTGTTTTAGAGCAAAAGATTATATTCCCAGAACATTTTCAAACAGACATAAGGAAACATGAAAGCACACTTCAGTAGAAGCCTTTGCTTCTCCAAATAATTTGTTTAATAGAGGTTAATGTAACACTGGGAAACTCTCCAAATAATTTGTTTAATAGAGGTTAATATAACACTGGGAAATACATGCTTTTAGAGGTGATAGCTTAATTTTCCTTTCCTTTCCTTCTTTGACCATATGTTCCTAGAGTGTTTTTTGTTTGTTTGGTTGGTTTTTTTGCTCCCTTGTCCTTCTTCTGAGCAAATAAAAAACTAAAATGGTTAAATTTTTAAAAGTAACATGAGAATGCAGTGCTGTAGTTTGATTTTTGATCACATTTTCCCTCATTGTGGTTCATGCTGCTGTGGTTTCCTTGTTTACTGTTTGACTCGTATAACTTGGGTCAAGCAGCAGAGGGACACAGACTTTGCACTTCAAGCTTTATGTTCTCTTAGTCTGAAATCTCAGTTTAATCTACAAGCTTGCAATCTATTAGACTCACCCATTCACTGCTAAGGAGGAGAGAAGGCACCTTTGTGCTTGGAGAAGGAAAGGCAGGAGAGAGCAATGTTTAGCACCAAGCTGATTTGCATAGGCTAAGGAAACAGCTCCAGACTCAATGTCTCCTTGCTTCTCTCTAATAGTGCCCCGTGACATCCTCACCTTCCTGGGGACTTGTGTCCTGGGCACACCCGGCAGCGCAAGGTATCTGCTGTCCCACACACACTCCAAGTGCATCCCAGCAGGCACAAACCAACACGCTCAGCCACAGCTCCTTTCTCCCTCTAACTGGTGCTTTCTGACTGCTCTGGCTCCAGCCAGGAGCCGTAGGTGTCCCACGGGTGTCCCAGCAGGGGTGTCCCCTCTGGAGCCGGGGTTTCCGTGCTGCAGCCATCGCTGCCCGGCTCCCCAGGAGCAGCCCGGCGCGGCCGGGCCTGCCAACCCGCCGTGCCCACAGAATTCCCGGACACGGACACGCGCCGCCGCTGGCAGCAGCCCGAGCCACGTCCCGAGTGAGCTCATGCTCCATCACAGCCGGGGAGTGACTCAGGAGCTTGGCCTGACACTGTCAGGCGGTGTCTGGTTCGGGCATTCCCTGCACAATTGTCCTCCCTGTCCCCACGGCCGTGTTGGCCGGGCCCCATAGAGGGGCTTTGAGGTTTGCTGGCAGCAAAGGCATTGCCATGAGGGATGCGGTGTGTGGAGAACAGAGACAGGGAGAGTGACGGCAGGAGAGAGCCCTGGTGCGTGCAGAGCTGCCACGTGTGGAGGTCATAAATCCTCTGTGCCTGTGTGTAATGAGCCCTGAGCCCCAGTGCCGAGCAGAGCAGGGTACAGAGTGTGTTTGATGCAGCCTGATGGGCTCCTGAGAGCCATTTCTAGCAGGCAGGGTGGCTGTCTCCCCACCCAGGAGAAGTGACACAGCTCTGACACAAGGGACCTGAGTCAGTTCCTGTCCCTGCATGAATCTGCAGGATTCAGAGCAGTTCATGTGTGTGCCTGTGGTGGCCAAGGGTGCATTGTCCTGTCTAGGAGGTGACCAGAGAGGCTGCCTCCCCTGGGTCTCTGGGGTTTGCCCCATGTCTCCAGGCTCAGCCATTCCTGACATGCTCCCATGCTGTCCTCTCCAGCACCTCTCCATGGTTTGGGTAGTAGCTGTTCTAGAGGATCCCTGTAGTGCTGTGGGACCAGCTGGAGCACTCACATGCCAGAGAGGAATGTTATGTGAGAGAAATGCAAGTGGTTTCCACTCTTGATCTAAAACTGTACCCAAAGAAGTATTAAAGAGGGCCAGGATAGTGGGGACACAAGCCTGAGAACCATGAGTGGTGGGCTGAGACAAGGTGCTGTGCCCAGGGGAGCCCAGCTAAGTACAGCACCTTGGAGCCAATGCTGCCCTTCCTCTGCTCCCCTCCAGTGGCAAAGTGCTTCACAGACCACCAGCAAGAGAGCAAAATCTCAGGGTGCCACGCTACAGCTAAGGGCTCTTCCCAGGCACATGCTGAGATCACTGGAGATTAGCTACCATATTTCTGTAGGGAACTTCTGAGGGGAAACCACTGGCAGTGCAGGGATGGGGATAGGGCTGAGAACACACAACTATGGCAGCTCTCACTCTTCCAGTCACTGGAATGGAAGAGTTAAACCCTGGTCCTGACCCCCACCTCCCGTTCTGGGCAGCAGAGCCAGTTGGTGACAAGAGGCTGATGCTGATGAGGGAGCATGTGAAGCCAGAGCTGTGAATGGGGCTTTATCCCAGGAGGGACCTGCCTCTGCTCACTCCCTGCCCTGCTGCCAGCACCAGCTGCAGGCAGAGTCCTTTGGGCAGCAATGTGCCAGCAGCCTCTGAGCTGGGCACAAAGCACTGGAGAGGCAGGAGACTCGCCCTTGGGGCAGGCTGGGGTTCCCCCACAGCACAAGGAGGTCTCCCACAAGACGTGCGGCTGATCTGTTCTCCAGCACACAGGGCTCCTGTGAGGGAAGCACAGTAAGGTCTGCAGGCCAGCCTCAGCAACCAAGGCCCAGGGTCTGGCACAGGATTGTTTGGTACAGGGGAGCAGGGTCTCTGTTTAATGATATCTTCTCTTCTTGACTTTTTCAGATGAAAGACACGGGAAAGAAAGGAGACAGCCCTGGCAGTTCCCCTGTGGTGCTGCTCTGGGAACACTCCGTCATGTTTCACAGCCCTGCCTCGGTGGTGGGCTCAACCCCAGCACATGGACCATAACTCTCCTGGTGGCACCACTGCAAAAGGAAATTCCATCAGGATCCAAAGAATGAGACCGAGACATCACTGCTGGAGAAATGCAGCTGCCTTCACCACTGCTGCTGCATTGACCCTCCATTTGCTGTAAGGGTGCAAATTCATCTGTGCCACCTCTGTGCCCTCTTCACCCAGCTGCCCACCATGCCAGAGCTGGCAGAGCTGAGCAGCCCCCGCACCCCTGCAGACGCAGACCACATCCAGAGGAATATCTTGGAAGAGCACGTGGAGCTCTGGTGGTTCCAGGACCCCAAAAAGTCCATCCTGTGCTATGGGATGGCCGTGGTGCTGATTCTGGCCTGTGGGATTGGGGGCATCATCCTGCTGTACAGCACTAGCAGCCGCTCTGGAGAGTGGCGGCTCGCCGTGGGCACCACACTCTGCCTCCTGGCCCTGCTCGTGCTGCTGAAGCAGCTGCTGAGCTCTGCAATCCAGGACATGAACTGCATCCGCAGCCGGGATCAGATCGAGCTCCTGAAGAGCGGAGGCTTCTCGGACTGCCTGGTGCTGCTGCTGAGCGCCCTGGTGCTGCTGGTCTGCGGGGTGGTGCTCACCATCCTCTCCACCACCACCACCATGCAGCTCAGCCCCGCACGGCCGCTGGCCAGCATGTTCACCAGCGGGGTCATCCTCCTGACTGCTGGCAGTGCCATCCTCCTCTGCCTGCTGCTATACCTGCTGTGCACCTCCTGCCGCCGGGCAGCTCCGCGGAGCCTGGAGACCGGCGAGATCCGCATCTTCACCATCTCCGGCCGCCTCGCTGGAAACAGGCGGCTTCCCCCCACCTCCAGCATGGCCAACCTGATCTGACCCAGGACGCCTCTGTGTGAGCCTCAGTGGATACAGCCATCAGAGATGGCCTTTCCCCAGGGAAGGGCGAGAGCTGCAGTGTGCCCAGTGTTCCTGTTGGAGATGACTGGCATTTGCTTTGCCTCAGGCTGGTGGCACAGCACAGACTCAGGGCACCTGGATGGGCTCTGACCTGGCTGGCATTTTATCCCCACAAAACCTCCTGTGTCAGCTGCTGCCTGCCTGGCTGTGACCCATGTTACACAGTGAAGGTGAGCCTGTCCTGTATCCCTGGGAACCCCAGTACTTGTCTGGTTCCTGCAGTTCCTGGAACTGTGTCATACGCTCTCCTGGCAGGAGAGGCTGTAATCGCGGGTGGTATAAAACCAACCTGTGCTCTGTGCAGAGCCTCCAGCTGCTGAGTGAAGTAGAGTCTCTAGCAGCTGGTGAATGGCAAGAGATATTTTGTGTGTCAGCAGGCACGAGGGAGCCTGGTGGGAGGTATGGCTGCAGGGGCTGCTCCCAAGAAATCACTGGTGTCTGTGGGAGTGAGTGTGGGATTTGCATAGGATTGTGTGTGCTAGAGCCACAGCATGGCTGGACCTCACATGAAATGCTGTTTGTGTTTGCAATGCCAGGATCTGTTCCAGTGTTACATTTCTGCAGCCCACCATCACCTGTGGTTTATCAAAGGGGTGATGAAGCAGTGTTGGTGCCAAGCCCTGATGGGTTATCTGTGCTGGACTGAGTGTTGGGGCTCTCTTATCATGCCAGGATGCTCCAGCTACATGAGCCACAAACAGCAAGGTGCAGTCGGCAGGGGATGGTGATGGGATGCCCAAATCCTGAGGCTGGGGCTGCCTTCTGCAAAAGCTGTGTGAGGGGAGAGTGCTGTGCCCTCCTACAGGAGTTTCCCTCTGCTGCCAGGAGCCCTGCAGCTCATCCCAGTCCCTGCTTGTTTCCATGCTGTTTCTGTCTCCCAAGTGCTGCAGCTGCTGCAGGGCAGAAAAGTTCCTCTACTGTCACTTGGGCCCTACCTGGAGCTTTTTTGGTGTTTTATCTCTACAAGGTGTCTTGTTTTATCACCAAGGTGTCTCTATCAGAGGCAGACTAACAATTGACCCCAGGAACTTTTCCTGTGACTTAAGTCTAATTTACCTGACAAAATTCTCATTTCCCTCATAGACTCACTAACCATTTCACTGCCCTTTCCATAGACATAGAGCCCAACCTCCTGCTGAAGATGCTCCTGCATGACCTCTTCCTCTTAGCAAGTTGGTCAGAGCATGGTGCTAACAACACCAAGGTCACAGGTGTGAACCCCATGTGGGCCATTCTCTTAAGAGTTGGACTCTGTGATCCTCCTGGGCCCCTTCCAGCTCAGACTATTCTGTGATTTTTCATCTTCTCTGCTCCCATCTTTCCTTCACCTGAATTGTTCTGCCCCAGATGTTGGTTTTGCTCATTATTTGCCAAGTGTCCTCTGCAATGGAACAAGACTGAGCTACTGTTTTTTGATGCCTGGTAACAAATTCATTTGGAAGAAGATGGTAGCCAATTCCCTTGCCAGTAGCACAAATCACTGTCCATGTTACACCTGGAGGCAGTGTCAGAGCTCACCATCAGCTGGTCAGTGAGGCCTTCACCCCTTCACAGCTCCAGACCAACCATTCCCAATGCAGTGAGATCTCATGAGACCACATCTGTATCCACCTGTTCTTGCCCTGCTCCTGCCGACTTTCCTTTGCCTGAAGCCTTGGATTGTCTTTCCCAGTGTACAGGTGCATCCTTTGAGCTTTTCTCTCTGTATCTCTGTTATTTCTACATTTTCCTCTGCCACCTTCACATAATCTGTAGATTTTATTAAACTGCTATTTCCTCTTCTCTCTCCATCTCCTCCCTTAATCTGCCCAGGAGCTCAGAAGGTGGTGGTGAGCTCAGATCCTCCTGTGCTAAATCTCTTCAAAGCTGAGCTCTTCTTCCCCCCTGGGCTGTTTGGCCCCAGGTCCATCAGGGACCCCTGTGCCTACACGGAAGGGGACAGGCCAGAGCTGAATGGTCTTGCACCACCATCACCACTGCTGCTGCTCTGTGTCAGTGCATGTGCAGTTATGCCAGGCTGTACTCCCTCTGTCAGCACCAGTGGTCCAGCAGTGACTGCCAGCTCCACCAGCCCACACGTGCTGACAGGCCACAGCTGCCTGCACACCAGCTGTTTTGCACATCTGGGCATTTCTGTGAAGAGGCATGACTGTGCCCAGCTCGCAGCTCCATGCTGCCTGCATGTCAATGTGAATCCTGTCCCACTAAGTACCTTCAAAACATGCCCCAAGTGCCTGTGAATTGTGCCAGAAAAGGGGGATTTGACTGTGGGCCAGGACAGCAAACCAAGGAGACAACAGCTGTGCCTGAAGATGGTGGCTGGGTCCAGCTGCCCAGAGGGACAGCCTGTGCTGCCCAATCCCTGACTCCCCTCTACAGCACAGGTGCTGGTTTGTTTCTTGGTTCTTGTGTTGTATGTGGACATACATAATAAAGTGTTAGAGAAGTTAATTGTGTTGAAGGCTGATATTTGAATGCAGGTCTCTCTGCAGAGCAGAGGTGTCAGGGCTTTTCAGGGCTGGCCTCAGCCCAGGGCAGTAATCACAACAGACCAAGGTCCCTCACGTGGCTGTGGTTTTGGATCACCAGCTAGTGTGGCAATGCCACCAGAGCCCCAAAAATGCATGTACTTCTCTCCTGATACACAATTCCCACCTCCAGATGCATGTTAGTCTCTCTCTGCTTAAGAACACAGACATATCCAGATCCCCTTACTGCTGCTCTGTGAACCTGAGACCTTGTTATGCTCCGAAAGATCCTCACAGGGAGCACACAAAGCCTCCTGAATGTGTCAGTGCTGGCTAGTTTGTTTACAGAGAAGCTGTTTCACCCTGTGGCAGGGCTGAGCCTCACACCTGGAACCAGTCTGCCTGCATACCTGCTCCTGCTCCCGGCCAGCTTCAGCCAGGCCCTCATGGCAGCTTCCTGGGTGGACCCCTGGAGAAGGATCCTCCTTTTCATGCTCTGACCCCTTTTATTCCCAGCTCTGCAAGCCAGATGTATTTCCCCCCAAACATGAGTTGCCAGGTTCCTGCTCACTTGCACCCCAACTGCCTGAGAGGGGACAGAAAATGCACACACACACACACATGCACACACACAAGAAAACCTGCCATGTCTACTTGGCTAAAAAATAAATGGGTGAACTTATGAGCAGGGTCAAGTAGACAAGCCATCCAACCACTAAGTGCTGAGGGGCTGGTGAGTAAGATCCTGGACAAATAAGCCTGGATGCTTGTATTTTTAACTTTTTTTAAGACATCACCAAGACAAAAAAGAAAAGACTGCATCTAGTATGAATTCATGTGATTGAAAAGCATGTTGAAAAGCCCAGAAAATACCCTCCAAAAGATAACTGAAATGCTTTTTCCCAGACCACAGATTTAAATATCTTACCTAAAACATATTAGAAATTTCCAAAAATACATTATATAGTGTATTTTCACTGGTAGCTGATGAGCCCAGAAGGCAAATGATGAGACAGTAACTGAAAAAGTAAAGTTCACTTTAGAAATATGGCATTTAAGAGCAAAAACTGGCTGACCGCTGAAAGAAGCCAGCAGATTTTACTCCTGCTCAAGGCTTCAAGTGGCACATTTGCTCTCTACCCTGTCTCATCCACCCAATGCCTGACCCATTTTTCCCCTTTGGTTTACATTCTCTGAGGTGTATTATTTACCTTTCTTATATACTAGATGTTTTAATGAGTGGAAAAAAATCGAAAGGCAGTTAGCAGTGAAACAGAGATTTGAAGGAGGTGGAGGAATTAGCTGTGTGGCAAAGCTTTGAGAAATGCTTTCCTGTGTTGGTATCTCTTACTCTGGAGCATGACAAAGAGACTCCTGAGCTATCAGGGATGGTAATGACTGGGCTGTGCCCTGGGAAATCTTCCCAACGGGTTGGTTCCAGCCTAATGAATCACTTACTGAAGGTGAATGCCACTGCTGTTCCCTGCTTTTAACTCCAGAGTAACCCATGAAAGCACAACCAACTCCAGCAGAAATAACTTGCATTTATCTGTCTCATGTACTCTTCATCATACCACAAAGATGAAGATGACAGGAATGTAAAAATTATCACATTTGTGCAACTCCACAGTTGAAGAGACACGTGGAACTCTGTAATGGGTGCTGGAGGAGAGGGTCACCTCGCCCCAGCACATGGGCCTGGCACTGCAACTGGCAGCACTGATGAGTTTGCTCAGCTCTGCAGAGCTGACAGGGGAAAGCTGTCTTTTAGCTTGTCTTCAGGGAGAGGGAAGAGAGAAAAGAAAGAAGGGCCATGGTTGGACAGACACGCACAGAAACCCTGTGATGGTGCACCAGGGCTGCCTGCACCACAGCAGGTGAAATATTTGTTTGGACAAGAGCACTCATTGTGCCACAGAAGTGGTCTCTCATCGCCACAGTTAGAGGAATGTATTTATGGTCCTTGAAAGCACATGCAAAAAAAGCTGCACCAAAGCTGTGGGGCTGGGGGTCTCCTCCAGACACTGGCACTGGGAGAGTCCCAACGAACCATTGCAGGCACAAAGAGGCAGGGCTAAATCATGCTTTAATCACACCTCAGAGTGACAACACATTGAGGGACAGAGCAGGGCTGGGTCTGGCACCATGGGGCAGTGGGACCAGTGCCCAAGACCCCATGGCAGCACCAGGGCAGGCTCCTCTTCCCACTTCACCTGGCTTCCCAGGCATGATAGGCATCACCTCCTTCATCCTCAGCATCTGAGCAAGGCTGGGAAAGCAGCACCTGATTTGGTGTCCCTGTGACAGTGCAGCCTACTGGTGTCATGCTGGGACACTCTGGGACTGGCTGCCTTCAGCCTCCATCACCATGCCAAGCCCATCCCTCTCTCCTTTCCTCTCTGTTCCCTTCCTCCTGCCCTAGACATGTGAGGCCCAAAGCCAAGGGCAGGTAGGAAAAGGGTGGAGCTAGGGAAACAGCAAGAGGCCGCAGCAGTGGTGGCTGAGTTGTAAGCTTGTAAACTCAGATGGAGCAATGCAACTCCCGCTCCTCTTTTGTTGGTAGCTGCTCACTGGGCTGGATGTAGTTGTCCTCAATGAAGCCATCATCATCCTCAGTTTGCAG